ACAACACCTCAACGCTCCTCCCGGTGTACCTCCACCAGCATACTCTTCGCAGCCCACGCCCGCGCAGCAGACGCCATACGTCGCGAACGGCGCCGTCGCAGGTGATGAGACACGTCACTTGTCTTATAGTGCTCTGCTCACGCGATGCTACCAGTGCCACAAACGCCCGCTCAGCAAGTACTCATGTCGCCTGCGGACCGCTGGGGCCTTCTTGGCCTGCTAGCGCTCATCAAGAGTGCGGACCCGGATCAAAGCTTGCTCACGATAGGTACGGACCTAGGGACTATGGGGTTGGACATGCAGAACCCTGGGTACGTCTTTTGCACTTGCTACGCGTCCTACTGATCTCATCGATGGTTGCTCCAGAAGTCTCTACTCGACTTTTATCACACCTTGGGCAGACTCATCAGCTGCACATACAGTAGAACCCGACTTCCACCTTCCGGCGTGCTATAACGTGCAACCACCTCCGCCGAGTCCGAACAAAGTCGCAGTGTTCAGCGACGAAACGCTGTTCTTCATGTTCTACGCGTCGCCTCGGGATGCGCTCCAGGAAATTGCTGCACAAGAGTTGTACGTGTGCCTGTCTACCTTCTCTGCTGCAGGTGCAAACATGGATATGCGACAGGTACAACCGGAATTGGCGGTATCATAAGGAGCTCCGTCTCTGGATTACGAAGGAGAGCGGCACGCAGCCATCCCAGAAGGTGCCCGGAGGCGAGCAAGGCACATATTCGTACTGGGACCCCGACATGTGGGAGAAGTCCCGAAAGGAGATGACGGTCCTCTACGCCGACCTCGAAGAGAAGAACCAGCCCCTGTTCGCCGCGGGCCAGACCCTCCAGATGAACGCGCCGCCGCAGCCGCACACGCCCGCGCAACCCGGTCGCGTAGGTGCTGCGTTCCAGGGCATTGCCATGGGTGCGATGTGAAGAAGCGCGACGAGTCTTCTCCGCGCATAATCGTGTTCTCTCAACTTGGACAGAAACGCTTCGCCGTCGACATTCGCCTGTTCCGTCTCCGTTCTACGTTTTACCGACGCCCCCGTCTTGTTCTCCGTTGGTGCTCTCCCTTCCTTTTTCCCCAGTCATCGAGCTATCATACGCTTGTATCTGTAAGCCATACTGTTTGAATCATATCCACCCCGTCTATTGGCTGTTTAAATCTCGATAATCACGCCGCTGTCCATCAACGTCTCACCTATCGCTCTCATGAATGCAGCAGCGCGCACGCATGTATTTCGAATCCTCCACAGGTACGTGGCTAATCATGGCACGTGTGGATTTACTTTCATTGCGGCCACAAAATTGTAATGATACAACACTTTGAGAAAGCTACTCACTAATGCCATCATCGAGCGCGATCTGCAATATGTCCTGCCACTCCTGCCGACCATAATACTGTAATAATACAACCCCTTGAAAGAAGTGTCAACCACTCCACGCGCTGGCCGAACGTCCAACGCTGACTCACTGAAGTACAGCAGTCGGTCAGATCGGGAACTGCAAGGAAAGCTCCGTGAGCAGGTTCATCGCGTCCACTCGGTAATCGTCGTTGGTGATAGTAACGGGCGTGATTCCGTCTAGGAACGTGAGCAGCTTCGGAGACGACGTCGTGTATTGCGGCCAGGACGCGACTGTCTTGCCGTTCGGGTTGAGGTTAGTAGCGAAGTTGATGAGGTAGTCGGCGAGCTCGCCTCCGCCGTAGATGTTCAGGATATCTGTAGCGTGAGCCTACGCGTGCGCACAGAAGGTCGGCGATCTGCGTCATGGGGGAACCAGAAATCCACTCACAGAGCCAAGGGCGGGCAATCCCTTGAGGCGCTTGGATACTACGCAGACGTCAACACACGGGACGGCGTCCACGGGAATATGCAGAGACTCACAGAAAGACCACGTCGGCTGCAAACCGGAGCGGTGCTGCAGGAAGAACCTGCGGGGAGCCTGGAATACGAGATCGCCCTGCATAGCGGCAAGGCGCTTGTACTGCGGCGTGAGGGCGTTCAAGATCCCGGTATCGAAGGGCGAGCCCTGCGTGATGTCAGCGGGGTACGCGGTGAACAGGTCGTCGAGGCTCTTGCTCTCAATCTGGGGCATGTAATTGGTCGTGATGTAAGAGCGCAGCTCGTCGTCAGTGCTGTCCACGGTCGCGTGAGCTATGGTGCTGTTGTGGAGTGGGAGTGAGAGCGACATACGTGATGTTCAAAGTCGAGAGCGAGAACAATGTCCCTTCGTCGTCGCAGTCCTGTTTCGTGCGCGACATTGAGACCATAGACAAGAAAGTTGCTTTCAGAAGCACTCACACCCGTGACGAATGGGACATTGGCGACGCTACCCTGTTGAACGAGGTTTTGCGGTGTGTCGGTCAGGAATTTGCCATCCACGCGAGGAAGCCACGTCAAGCGCAGCGACTAAAGCATCCGTGAGCACGAGCGATCACACGACCTCTCAGAAGGCGGACCGGAGACGCACGTTGGGGGAGAAGATGCCGGGGGAAGCGTCCACCGCCTTCTTCAGTGTGTCGTACGGAACCTGCCTCAAGCACTGTAGCGTGTCGGCCGCCCCAGTGCAGCCCGTCTCTGAAACGAGCGCGTCGTAATCGGCTTGTCCGTGTGAGATGTCGCCGACTGGAATGGGCGAGCCGGACTGCATGAACGCTCCGCGGAACAGGCCTTCGGAGTTGCCACCGTTCGTTATAAGGTGCAGGGCGACCGAGATCGCGCCCGCGCTCTCGCCCCATCTGGAGGGTCGTCATCAGTACGCAGTACGCGGCGGGAGGAATGAAGGCGGAGCGCGTGTGGAGGAGAGACGCACATAGTGACTTTGGTCGGGTCGCCGCCGAACGCGGAGATGTACTTCTGGATCCAGCGGAGCGCGAGGCGTTCTGCGGGGCGGCGACGTCAAATAAGCTATGTCAATCTCGATGGCGTCTCATGGAGGTGTCTGTGCACTGACGATCTTGTAACCCGAGATTGCCAACGCCGGCGTCTTTGACTTCTTGACTGGCCAGAAAGCCGAAGGCTGGGCTCTCGTCAGGACCGCTGGGCTGGTCGATTCCGAGAAAGATGCATACCAGACACTCTACGATGAAGGTGAGTTCCATGCGTGCCATCTAGATTGTAGCCAGATGAGTGCTTACCGATAGTTCATGCTGACATATATGACAGGTTCGTTCATCTCGATTGACCTGCTCACGATGGCTCCTCCGTCATACCTACGGCGGTAGCTTGGTCAGACTCGCTTTTGGAGATTTCGGTGTGCGACTTACATAGCGGGGCTACCAAGCTCAAACCCGCCTTTGGATAAGGGTCCTCAGATTCTGTAGCTGCGAATATGGAAGAAGAAGATCGCATACCGCCAAAGATCCACTGTGTAGCGAGCGATCAGTATATCAATGGCGACGTGTGACCAGACCAGAGAGGAAGACCCACAGCGACAATGGGCAATTTGTCTGTTGGTTTCGTACCAGCCGGAACGACGACGTTCAGGTTAAGGCCTACACCATTGATAAGATATGTAAGAAGAGCAAAGGACCAAGTATGGCGACTTACAATCTTCCTGTGCAGGAAAGACAGCCTGGTATATGGAGTTGACGATGAAATTGACAGCGTCTTCTGCCAGTTGAGAGGGCAAGTCAAAATCGACCGCCTGTTGGGGGCAGGACGGCCCAAAGCTTGTCACGGTGTGAGTTCCTGTGTAGGGCTCAACAGCGACGGGTAAGTTGAAGCGCAGGTCCCCGACGCTAGAAACGGCAGTTATCAGGACAGGTAGCGACAAGCCAAGAGCTTGTCCACGTACGGTGCTTTGGCGAAGGGGATGCCCAAAAACTTGTTCGTCTTGCCATCACTCGTCCCGATGAAAGTGCCTTGATCTAGCTGAACAGTGGGTGCAGCCCTTGGCGCCAATGGCGCGGCACGGACGCTGCTCACTAGAACAGAGAGAAGGCAGAGGGTGTGGACGAGCATATCGCGAGGGGCGACGGCTGAGTCTGGCCACAGAGAGAGGGAGTGCTCTCCATTGTTATTTATACCAGTAAGCCTCCCTCCAACGAACATTCCACATTCCAAGCGGGCGATTGTGAATGTCGTCGTCTGGTGTTCGCATTGAATCCGGGCGAATGACAATGTCACGGCACCGGCGCGTACTGGCGAGCAAGGCGCAGCCGTCTGACATCACTCCTCCGCTCAAACGACATCCGCGTCTGCCCCGGACAACGCATGGGAAGAAGATAGAAATCACGGACACGAGTAGGACAAGAAGGGATCACACGTACCTGCAGAGCACGCGGCAGCAAGCGACGGAGATGATTGTCGGGTCACATTGTTCTTGTGGCGGGCTGACGAGACTGCAGTGAGACGCCCTCTGCTCGGCTCGGAGATCGTGCTCCTCGATGTCAGAGGCTTGGAACGACTCCTGCATATAGTGATTTCTTTGAAACTGCTCCTCACGACCGAAGTAGCGGCGTGCGAGCTGCAACCAGATGACCTGTGCCTGCAGCATTTTCACGAGCACAGCGTCTGTACCCGCTGACACCGTCATGGCATTCGAATGGTACGAGCACCGTATGGCTGACAAAATCACTAGACCTACAAAAGCAGTTTGATGCCATGTCAATCATGCCAATCACCGTTCAGGGATCACAAGAGGATCTACCTGTGTACAATGCTTCCGATGACCCCGTCATGGGATCTTGAACGGCCGTACGAGTGAAAGCGTCATCTCACTGACATTGACCGGGGCCATAATGTCCGACGGCCGCTGGCGAACCTGAGCCTGCTGTAGACTGTTCCCACTGACCGGTTTCGGAGAGGTAACGCCGGATGAATTGGCTGAGGCGTTGACTGTCCATCTTCTTACCCACCGCATTGGTCTTCTGCGATGTTCGTGTGGCAGCGGTCAAGTGCCGCAGAGTGCGTGCACTGCCACGAACACAATCGGCGAATTCAGCTCGGGACGAGGCCGGACTATATAACAAACACAACAGGTTCCTCCTTGTGCCGAGGCGAGATGGCCGAGCGGTCTAAGGCGCCAGAATCAGGCAACATCGTGTTCCGTTCATCTGGTCCGAAAGGGCGTGGGTTCGAATCCCACTCTCGTCATTTTTGTTGCTCTCGTCTATCTCCTTCATCCTATCTAGACTACTAGTAGTATGTATATGCACTTCAAGGTTGAACGCACACATATGAAGAGTTATACCGGGAGATAGCTAGCAAAGTGAACATTTGGGTTGTGTGTGTAACGTTAACGAATGGCTATTTCGAGCCGTCGGGGTATTGCAAGGAACAGTACTTGAACATTCGTTCTGTTTCACAGAGTAGTGCGTTCTATGACCGATAGCTTCCTGATCGCCAGGCCTTGAAATAGTGTTCACTTCTCATGATGACGAAGGGGCACCGCCCGAGAGGATGCCTCTCACGCTGGACTTCTTAAATTCTTTCGCGGCTTTTTGTGGCCATGTGTACGCAGTTGTGCAGCATGATTGTGACAGGGATACTTTACCCGAAAACCGGAAGTACCGGTGAGAAGGAACGTGTTTGGAAGGAGCTAGATGGTGCCATGCAAAGTATGCGTGCTCCTCGCTCTTTACGACAGTGCCAGCAATGCAGCTCACCCTACGTACGGCATGCATTGTCTGCACCCGTCTAATCCCCGCGCAACGAGGTATACTGGTGCTCACCAATCGTTCGTATAGGATTGGCAGATATTTTGAGGAGGCTGACGATTGTATGTTGCTCATAGGTGTCCGTGAGACGATGCAACTAGTGGTCAGTCTGGAAAAAGCAACTCACTCAAGAAAGAGATAACGGCACGTTGTGGCACATCCCGCATGATGGCGGTGTATACACGGAGGTGTTGCAGAAACAAGAAGGGTTCCATGATATTATGCCGCAATTGGTCCAGACAAGGCATTGCAAGTGATCAAGGGGTCATGCCATCGGTTGTCTCAGCGGGATACTTGCACTCACGGCGATGGTCCGCACGGATGCGCGTCCTGTCAAGTCGGCTGCCGAAAACTGGGTTACCAACCATATGCATCTTACTAGTGTTGCCAGTAGGCCGCTTTGCTTGTTCCATTGACGTCTTCCAAACGTAAGGAGCAGCTGCACGGAGTGTGAAGTATACTGTACCACGGCCATCCAACTACGCAAAATTCACCGGGGTCCGGCACCGTGACAATGCTGAGGCTGCCTCAGGCCAAAAGCGCGCAGCGACTTTGCGCCAATGCCCGCCTCAATATTAATGCGGACCAAGATCGACACAGGCCTATACATGACTCCATAGCGGTGTCAATTCAGTATCACGTTGGAGATGTTCACCGAGCGTTGCGGTGTTGTTAATCTGAATACGAACGAGCGACTCCAGCCTTCCGACGAGTCGGGGCGGGGGAGACGTTGTTTGTTCCTGTTAGGATCGCAAGCTATTGGCTTGCTCCAGTTTTCCAAATCAGGATAACCAAACCCCTTTTGCGCCGCCTTGGTTGGCGTGGATCGTCTCTTCAGCCCGTCTGTCTCGCTCTCTCCACGCGAAACTCAGACAAAGTAGCCCGAGTGGCACCTGAGGACGCATGGATGCGCCTGGTGAGTCACGTGATGGCGTTTATCTGTCCGGTGCATCGCGTTTCGCCGTTGAGTGGTTATTGCCACACCCTTCTTTGAGAACGCTCTCACTGCGCTCTCTTCATCTCTCCCATCTTGCCTGGGCGCTTAGCTGTTTGTTCATACCTTACTAAACACCCTTGTTTCTAGGCCATTGACTTGCGCGCTGCACGCCAGATATACCAGACAAGTGGCATAGGACAACCGCCTCTGGCCACACATCTGCGAGCCCAGATAGGATAGATATGGTCTGGTCCTATATTCGAGGCAGCCTCAACTTCTACAGGATCCATCTTCTAGCATTGCAAGTGCATTTCAGTTGTGGTTGGCTGAGCTCAAGATTGACAGCGTTGCAGCATTTTCCTTCCTTTGTTCGGGGCGACCATCCTTTGGGCCAGCAATGGGAAATTTCCCGTCAAATTCGTTGATTCTTTATACATATGTATAAGCGCCGCAACTGGTACCGGCCTCGTCACCTTGGATCTCAGCTCTTTGACCGTGTGGCAGCAAGTTATCTTGACCATACTCGAGCTCATCGGGAATCAAGTGAGATCCGTTAGCCGCAACTGCGAGTGGCACATACTGACATAATTTAGACATTTGTGTCATGGGTAGTCGTACTAGTTCGAAGGTGATGAAACGACCTGAGCCTTTACTATGCGTACTGAACACTCAAGCTTTCTGCGTAGATGGTACTTCCTGCGCAATCTGCGACATATTGTTGCCGCAGAGCTGGAGCGAAAGCACACAATCATAGACGACGAGAACATCCCTCCGACACTCCGACACATCCGTGAGACGCTTGCAAGGCTCAAGAAGGAGAAAGATTTGCGAGGCACTCATGCCCCGGCGAGTTCGCAGGGCACTGGTGGGACCTCTACTAGACGATCCAGCCAGAATCGGGATAACAGATCTGGTCTGCGGACGGACATGGTGCGACGACTGGACATCGCTCCTCACCTCATCGATCCTATGGGTTCTGAGGCGCACCGGATTGCGGCAGACAGACACGCCGAAGCGACTGGCATCGACGTGTTGAGTAGTTCTGCGAGTCGTAGATCGCTTCATTCCACTGGACCCCCTATTCCTCCTCCCATTCCGGTGCGCAGCGAGGACGACTTCGGTGGCTTCCCTGGCCCGCAGGAGATCTTATCTCGCCTGACACGCAAGTTAGCGCCCAAGCTTCAGCGTCGTCTCAAGAGGACATTGACGGTACCGAGGACGGAGACCCTCATTCCTCGGGATGGAGATGATCGATCTGCGCAGGGTGAAGGCCGCGTCAAACGTGTTCCTTACCTGAGTTTCAGCGCTACGGTGAAGCGAAACTCCTCATTCTACGGCTTGACGGCTGAGAATATTGAAGAGCTTGGTGGAGTTGAGTATCGCGCACTGTGCTCTTTGTCATGGATCATACCTGTGGTGCGTGACTTTCCCAGGGCGTGCGCGGTAACATAGACTCACTGTTCGCAGTACTACTTCGGCCTTCTGGGCATCTCGTTCATCGTGACGGCGCCCTACATGTCCCTCCCGAAATGGCAGGTCAATTTCCATCCGCCTCTCCAGCATAGGGACATTAACGCCGTTTGGTGAGTAAAGATCACCACTGTGAATTATCTGAACGGGGTGCCAATAAAGTTCAAGGTTCTCGGCGTTCCAAATTATCGGGGCCTGGGCGAACACAGGTGGGCAGTATGGCTTTGTCCGTCGCCTGGCTAGAGGGTTGACCGAGTGTCATAGGAATGTCGCTTGTCGACCAGAATATGGTCCCGTTCCAGACCGCATACCCTATGGTCATATTTCTAGTTATATGCGTACTCGCTGGAAATACGGCATTGGTACGTCGTCATCCCGTTCTAGATACATGCGCATACTAAGCTGTGCATGTGATAGCCCATATTGTGAGTACGGTTTTCGAGCCCTGCTGAACTCAAGTCACTGATAACCTGGTTAACTAGCCTTCGCTTATTCATGTGAGTCTTGTTATCTTTCTCGGCGGAAGGAGGTTAAAACAATTCGATGCGAGATCAGATGGCTTCTCACCAAGCTCCCCGGACGGTCCCGCACCAAACAATCCCTCCACTTCCTACTCGATCATCCGCGAAGGTGTACCATCTACTTGTTCCCCGCTCGGCAGACCTGGCTGCTCTTCGCTACCATCATGATTCTCAAGTCAGTTGTCGCACATCATGAACCATGCTGCCCCCAAGTCTGACTATCACCCTAGCGGAACCAATCTCTTCTTCTACCTAATCCTCGACATTGGCAACCCTGCTACTGAGTCACTGCCGTTTGGGGTGAAGTTCATCGACGCACTTCTCGACGCGGCTGCGTGCAGGAATGCGGGATATCAGCCGATCCCAATGTCCTCTCTGATGCCGGCTGTACAGTGAGTATCCAAACTTGATCTTTGCCTGGTAGATTTCGGCTCACAGGTGCCTGTGCAGAGTTCTGTCTGTCATCATGATGTACATCGCCATCTTTCCCATAGCGATGAGGTGGGTGCCCCGTCGTTTCCAACAAAAGCTTTTTCTGACAGGCCTTCGCAGCGTCCGTGCTACGAATGTCTATGAGGAAAAGTCTCTCATGATCTATGAGAGCGATTCCGGCGAGGACGAATTGGACGACGACGCGCATTGGAACGTGCCATCAGAATCCCGCGTCGCAATCTGGGGCCGGTACTTACTCAGACATACCCGCAGACAGTTGTCGTTCGGTAAGCCGCAATATGCATATCATGAGACCTGTGTTGACATCTATATAATTTGCAGACATGTGGTGGCTGGCTGTATCCCTCTTTTTAGTATGCATCATCGAGGTACGGTCTCTATCGCTTGAAAGGATGCGCGTTGATTCGGAGACGATATCATAGCGCTCCAATCTCACGGATCCAAGCAAAATCTCGTACTTCAACATATTCGCGTTAAGTGAGCCATGAGCCAGATTCTCCGATGTTGACTTCGATTGCGTATTGACCGAACATAGTTTTCGAGCTCGTTTCCGCATATGGCACCGTCGGGCTATCTCTAGGGATTCCAGGAGTACGTTCGAAGCCCCGTACCATGATTCCGTCATGATCTGGTCATGCTCATGGCTACATACAGCTCAATTACTCTCTGTCTGGAGGGATGCATACGCTCTCCAAACTGGTTATCTGCGCGGTCATGCTGAGAGGACGCCATCGTGGCCTGCCTGTCGCTCTTGACCGCGCCGTTCTCATGCCGAGCGAGTTCCTCGTCATAAAGTCGGAGAACCAGCCGCATCGAGGACCCACGAACGAGAAGGATGCGCGGGACGACGGCCAGAGCCCGCGGTTCCCTCAGACGCTTCACAATCCGGACGAGCTGGCGGCGCAGATGCGTCTACGGACGCGAACGATCAGTCTTGTCGTGGAAGAGAGGAGGGATTCGACGAAAGACGCGAAGTACCCTGCGTGGTCTCCCGATCGCGTCCCGGAGGAGAGCGCGGATTCCAGCCTGGATGGACGAGACGGTGGCGACCGCCAG